ACTTCATGGTAAGTGCTGGGTCAAAATGGACCCCCAAGCTGTGGACCACACTCTTTGTAGTGAGAGTTGCCCCCCCAAAAAGAGAGGGAGCTTCCCAAACCACTGAGAAAAGGGGCACCCACCCTCAAGACCTCTGTCTTGTCCGGGTTCAACCTCAGTCCATTTTCCTGCATCCATTACTGTACGACCCCCAGGCAGCACTCAAGGGGCACAATGGCATCCACTGCTGTTGGAAAATAAGAGATGTAGCCACACCTCTTGATGACCCCACTCAGCAGCCTCATAGATATTAAACAGCATTGGAGAGATGATTGATCCCTGTGGCACCCCACAATTGAGGAGGTATGGGGCTGATACATTCTCTCCATGCTGGATCCTTTGGGAACGGTTCTCCAAGAAGGATTGGAGCCAAGAGAGCTAGGCCACCAATCCCCAAATCAGAGAGCCTCCCCATGAAGATACCGTGGTCGACGGTATGGAAGGCAGCTGAGATATCAAGGAAAACCAACAAGAACATTTTGCCCCCATCGGCCTCCCTCAAAAGGTCATCAAGCAGGGCGACCACCGCCGCTTCCATGCCATGGCATGGCCTGAAGCCCGACTGGAATGGATCCAGGGCGTTGGTCTCATCCAAGAGAGCCTGCAGCTGATCGGCGACCACCCTCTCTACTACCTTGCTAAGAAACATTGGTGACGCACCTATAATTGCCAATGTTGTCCGCCGCCAAGCTCGGTTTCTTCCTCATGGGCCTTAATGAGTGTCTCCTTGAGGGCAAGGGGAACCCTGCCCTCCTGGAGAGACCCATTTATTATAGCAGTGGCCCATTCAGTTGTTACAGGCCTGGCCGCTTTGATTAGCCAGGCTGGGCAAGGGTCAAGAGAGGAGGTGGTGGCCCGACAGCGGTCAAACACCTTGTCAACCTCAAGTGACGTCACCGGCTGAAAGTGAGTGATCTTCATGAGACAGGACAGAGCGCCTGATGTCTCTGCTCAATCTACTGACTTCTAATAGGGGGATAGGTCCTATCAGTGTTGCCACTGATGTCCCACACGAGGAAGTCAGTGGCAAAACCACACAGCCTTCTGCATGTTACTGAATTCAAATTCCCATCACCTTGGCTTACAGTGATGCATGATAGGAATTGTATTTTATCAATGTCTGGTGGGTCAAATGTTCTCAATCCCATCCTAAACTATAGGACAAGAGTGGGAAATTAGCTAAAATGAATAATAGGCTAAAATCATGCCCAAAGTAGATGTCTGAACATTTCTACCAATCATAAGTGCATGATGGGAGTCTCTTGCCCACCAACACAGTGCTAAATGTTAAAATGTCATCGGAGCTTGACCCTAACTGGCATCCTAACATTAAAAACCATTGTTAAAGACCACAATTCTTGGATAGACAGTGAAATTTTTCAAATATCTATCTTTTCTTCCAATCATATAAAAAGGGCAGTGGGTTACCTTCAATTTGAAGTTCTCCAGGATCTGCCGGAACAGAAACGGATTCCCACCTTCAGAGCCACTCAAAAATGCTCGCATCCAGTCATCACAAAATTTGTTACTCCCTGTTGTATTTTTGGAAACAAAAAGGAGGACTGTGAAGTCTTACAATATGACTAAATATCCCTACGGCCAAAGTCCACTAAAGTAGCTGAGCAATAGGTACCACAGGCTGTCGCAGAAAACTACAGGAAAAAGGGCATTGATAACTATTCATGTGTCAGCCTGCGATGGTCAACAGGGATAAAACCATTTCTCCAAAAAAGAAAACAGCATGGAGGCAAGAGGGTGATCTTGCAGCGTGCAGAATACCCAACTGTAGGGTGCTACAGCTAGACCATTAGGTTCTTGAGATGCAAGTAAATAGCAACGCTTCTCTGGCACATGTGTAACCAGAAGAAGATGTAGGGACTGGTTATATACGGCACAGGATCCCAGTGGCTGGGAAAAAGAACATAGGAGAGCTGTTTGTAGGCTTCTTGGAGGCAGACCTTTGGTTTGAGCTAGCTGGATTCCTCTTGTGTTCAGACCCTACAGGTGCAACAAAGAAACTACAAGTTTCTTCGCTACTGGCTCTGAGATTATGAGCTTCTATGGCTACAAAAACAGAACAGTGCAATACTGTTATTAAGACAACTGAAAGGGCAGACAAATAAGTGAGCTTTCAAGATTCCCATCCATTTCTGAATCTTTACTTGCCCTAAGAAAGGTATAAAGTTAAAATGTGTTTTGGGATTTTCTTATGGCCAGTATGTCTGCCTGTGCTTTTGATGTGATTTAGCCAGAAGTGCATTATCAAGAAGAATCCTTTCTCTCCTCCACCCCCAGCATTCAATGCCTGTGCAGGAGAAATAGCATCACTGGCAGTGGCAGACTGTGCTCTAACTGGAGTTCCTTTTTTCAGTTTTGGTGTGCACATAGCTCTCATGCAATGAGACAAAATTGCAACCATCCCAAAATTGAAAAAGAAGGTGTTTAATTAGCAGCATTCTGTCACTGCCAATGATGCCATCCCTGCTGCATAGATAGAGCTGCATAAGAGGATACTGGCCGGTATTGTAAGTTTATTCAGAAAGAGCACCAAGGTTTGCTTTTCTAAAGTATTCTGTCTTAGGCTCTGGCTGTTCCAACTTCAGAATACAACAGTACATGAAACAATTCAATGAAAACATCCATAATACTTGCCAGTAAGTATTGACAAGAAGGGAAGACAGTATTGCTCACAGGATGTTAAGAGTTTTGTCTTATGATCTGAAGTATAAGAGAGCTGGCCCCATACTCCAGATCCTTCTGTTGGCAGAAGCCTGCTGTTGTAACATCATCCTACAGATACTGTCCCTCTAGAAACAGCCATGAATGCCATTTTAAAGTGTGTTAAATCCATTATTTCCTATTCTTAACCATTCTATACAGATGAATCCCATGTCTATGCCTGCAAGCTCACCTGCATTGTGGAACTGAGGCTGAGGTCCGCTACAATCTGTTACTACTGGCTTGTGTTCCTCTGTCATGGTTACACATAAGGAAGTCATTGTGGTCTCCCTGACCAGATCTTGAAGGCTTGCCGCTCTAAGGAATCTGAAAAAGAAAATGAATGCTCAAGGATTTGTTTATAGATGCTCACAGTTTACAATTTGCTAAGCTGAAGGAGGAAGACAGCACGGCAATGACCGCTTTACGAAACAGCATCTGGCTACTGCCCTAAACGTCATCTTGGATGTTAATTTTCCCTTACCTGTTGATATCTTTCTTTGTCCTTTCATCAGAGTCCTTCACTTCGACTGGGGTGCAGCTCAGAGCCTGGAAATAGGAAAGTGAGGAAATATATAATGTCACTGGTTTAGATAAGGACTGAGGTTTAAGCTACGATCACATCCCACTTAACTGGAATGTCATGACATTCATGTTCTCAGCAGATATGCATAGGACTTGTCACCGAGCAGAAATTTTGTTTTCAGCACTTGTCGGCATTTTTCATACCTCTTCCAATGTGTTTTAATGATGTAAAAATCGGGGAGAGGAAGGGGGTTAACAAAACGACTTCAAGTTGTTTCCTCTGCTTTCCAGGGTAGAGGCGACAGCAGCATTCGGTGGGGGGTGGGTGGAAAGTGTTGCTTTTCCACCCCCTTTCTCACAGATGGAGGCTTTGTCTATATGTTCTTTGGCAACTAAAGTACACTTTATGGTATTATGCTGTGTTTATTAAAACATTTGTATCCTTACTCCATATGCAGAGGTCTTAGTGTGGAGCAGAAACAATAAAAATAAAAAGAATTTTCAAAGACAGGTAGAATAATAATCCAAACAGGCTGAAACAATTCAATGTAACAAAAGAACAAAGAACAAGCAGACAGAAAAACAGACAAACAATAGATTCAAATTAATCCATGGTCACAGTGCCTGAAACAGGTAGGTGAACAGCTCTGTTTCAATTTGGTGCCAAATTGAAGCCCACAGAGTAACTCTAGGACAGGGCATTCCACAATCAAGGTATCGTACAACAGAAGATCTCTTCAGGTATCGTACAACAGAAGGTCTCCAAACAGTATATTGCTCCCAATGGTGGCACACTCAGGGGTGGCACCCATCCCCATGCTCACACCCATACCCATACAACATAGTGAAAAGGTTTGAGTGTGTTGGGAAAGCAGATAAGAAGACCATCAGGAAGCTAAATTCCTAGCAAGGTCATTTGAAGTGGAATATCTCACAGCTGAGATACCAAGAAAAATGCATCAATTGTCTTCAAGAATCAACAGTTGTATCAGCAAACAAGATAGTCAGTGATGGGGGAGGGGGCAAAAAATTCTTGGAAGGCAGCTACTGACAACCATCAGGGTGGAAAGCAACACGGTCACAGGAACTTTCACAGGCAATGGCAGTGACACTCAAGCTGACTCTTGTTAGTACTGTGCATCAGAAGACAATGGCAAACCACTTCTCAATACCTGAAATGATTGATGGGACCTCTCAACACAGAAAAACAGATAGTTCTGGAACACGAGACTCTCAGATTGAAACACAGTCAATCAACTACAAGGGAAAACCTAATGATAAGTGTAAATAGTGCTGTACTTGATGAAACTGAAAGGATATTTGTTGTTAATGGGCACAGACACCAAAGAAAATTCCTAAGCTGTGCAACATACTGGAATTTTCAATACTGAAAATAGGATTCGGCGTAAAATCAAAATTGTGAAACAAGAGATGGAACATATAAATATTTGCATAGTTTGAATAAGCAAACTGAAGTGCACTAGAACAGGATATTTTCAATCATATAATTACATTTTTTTTGTTCTGAAAATGTATATTTGCTGCTAAAATTTATGCCTTTCACATAACGGCACAACAGCATTTCATCCAGCAAGTGAGAAATACCAAGTATTCAAGCTGGATTCAGAAAAGGAAGAAGCCCTAGATATCTTATTGCAAATACAAGTTGGTTACTGGAGCATATTAAAGAATTTTAAAAACCAGCCTATGCTTTTATAGACTCTAGCAAATCCTTCAACTGTGTAAGTCATGAAAAGCTATGAATATCACTCAAAATTAGATTCAAATGAAGAAGGAGAAGAAAAAGGTGGTTGGAGATAATGCTGATGACACCATATCACTGACAGAAAACAATGACAACTTAAAACAACATCTGGAGAAGAATAAAGAAAAGAAGCCCCAAAAGCAGGATTACAGTTGAACATTAAGACAAAAATTTGACTGCAGAAAAGTTAAATAATACTAAATTGTTAAAGATTTTCTATACCTCAGTTCAGTTGTCAACTCTAATGGAGACAGCAACTAAGAAATCAGAACAGGTCTAAGACCTACGAAGGAAAAGATCCTCAAGTGTAAGGCCATGACCATCTGTATTACTGTTGTCCTTATTATGATGTACAGACATAAAAGCTGGACAACACAGAAAGTTGACAAGAAAAAAGAAGACTCATTTGTAATGTAATGTTGGAGGAGAGCTTTAAGGTAATGATGGACCATTAGAAGGAAGACAAAATGGATTCTAGATTGTATCAAGCTTGAAATCTCATTAGAAGCTAAAATGACTAACCTTTTGTATACAGGGACCCCTGTATTTGTGGGGGCTCAGTCCCAAGACCCCCGCACAGATGCTGAAAAATGCAGATTATAGTGAACACTATTATAAAAGTGAACACTATATATAGCATTGTTTTTGGCTCCTTCTAGTGGCTCGTTCTAGGAGGGACGTGGTGGCGCTGCGGGCTAAACTGCAGAAGCCTTTGTGTGCTGCAGGGTCAGAAGCCCAGCAGTTGTAAGATCAAATCCATGCGACGGAGTGAGCTCCCGTTGCTTTGTCCCAGCTCCTCACCAACCTAGCAGTTCGAAAGCATGCAAATG